CCTGGGGTTTAACGACCTTCATGGATTTTGTGACGTTTTAATGCTATATTTTGAAGCTTATGCTTATAGTTTTTGTTTTTTTTTTGCCTTTTCGATCTTATGGGTTTCTCTATGTTGCCATTTCTGCTGGTTCTTGAGGTCTGTATTCTTCCTTCTACTTTTTGGGAAGACCATGTTTGCCTTAACATGAAAATAATAGGAAATTTTGATATTTAGAAGTCTGTAGATATTTCGAGCTCTATGTATGGTTGCATAATGGGAGTTACTTGAACCGATTCATAAGCTTACTCAAAGGGTTCCATCTTTATGCACGCTTTCTGGGTTTAAAGATTTTAATTTATGTGTCACACCCTTCTTGCATTAACGCTATTCAGTGCTTTCACTTTATTGAGCTAGGATTAAGTGTTTCATCTCTAACTCCGGCTATGTTTGGAGCAAATCAACCATTTCTGTTTGCATTGATAATGACACAATGGTTGATTTCTCTCCTGATAGCCAAACTTGAATTCTGCCATTGGTTTGCAATGGGTGCAATCATTCTAGCTATCACTGAATGCCGTCTGTACTTGGTTTCCAACCAATCCTGCCTCCATGTCATAGCATTCAAATTTCTGCTGAGGTGAATATATAAATGGTGCTGATTACTGACAGATTCAAAATGGGTTATGGTACCACCCATTGATGCCAAATGTCTTAATTCCTTTCACTTGAGAAATGTTTTGGGTAAGTTATTCTTGGTTTCTTTCTTCCTTTGCAACATGTTGGACTTCTAGTATAGTAGTATGAAGTTATAGAGTATCGCATAGTAAAAGAATTGTGTCAAGAATACAAGTATTCATAAATGTGATTATTACATTTTAAATTCTACAATTTTTTTCAAGAAGAGATGAGGGAAGAAATTTCTAATAATTAATTTTAATGCTAATCTCATAATAGCATTACGGTAGAATCAGACTGCTGTACTTCCAATTCATATTGGGTGTTTTTCCATTTGCCCTTTTCCTACCGAAAACAAGCTACGGTTATCAAAATTTGTCGTGGCTATTGTGAAGCTAATTCAAGTAGTCGACTTGCACAAGGATATGAAATGGAAATTGAAGAAAATGTTCCTCCAATTGAAAACTCTGATTCCTGTTTATATACATGAAAATAATAGCAAATGACAGCATGATAAAATCATTCTCAAACGAACTAATTGATTTCCCTTTATAGATCAGGGTCCAATTATCTATTCTTATGCTTGCATGACAACCAAAAGGTTTATAAATTGAAGTTGCTTTCAGGAGGTGGACAAGCACAAAGCATTCAAGCAAATCCAGGGCTGAAACACTGCTAAAAACAAGAATAATAAAATGGGAAACTAACAAATATTGCTCCCTGTCAAAATGATGAATTGCCTCCACTTTCGGGGTTAAGTAGACGCTATAACACCTCAAAATGATAAAGGAAAATGCAAAGAAAAGAGTCAGTTGTAAGGCCTATTCGACAAAAACATATCCTTCCACAGCCACTGAAATCTAGAAACAAACATCTGTGGAACTGCTTATTGACAGCCCCTTTCAAGTGCCTCCAAAAAAAAAATGACTTTAAAATTTATCGTTACCCAACCATGCAACCATTGAAAACAGAAGCTGCTTAGGGCTTGAGAGCAATGGCCAAACCAAAACGGGGATTTTTGTCCAATGCCTTGGTGTCAATCTCCCCAGAAATTGTCACCAATGATTTTGGAATAACCTCATGCTGCAGCAAGGCCCCAAGCTTTCCATGATTGTTTAGCTTAGCTTTCACGGTTGTTAGGGGATCAACAGCATACAACCCGCCAACTGTAAAAGTGTTCTCATTTGTGGAAA